TTGATCAATATTCAAGTGAAACTGGGATCCTTCTTATTCCGGATGGATTCTTCGCTTATTTTACTTCCTGTTTAAATAAGTTTTCGATTGACAAATGCGTTCATTGATCATACCACGAATGATTTGTTATCATCCACTGCCAAGTTGTCTGATCATTTTGTTCATATATTTAATCTACATAAAAGCAGAGATTCAAGAAAGATAAACCTATCAAGAAGTTTCGTTTAAATAAATAATCGTCATCACCAGTAGGTTCCGTGGACTTATTTTGTTTACAGCATAGCTGCTGCTTCGATGCGACAGCTCATCGATGCTGACATGTCAAGGGAAACATTTGCATAATACCAACGGTCATATTCGCCTATTTCATCCACTTGAAATCCAAATGAGAGAGCTGCTAAGCATGAAGAAAATAGTCTATCATATAAATCAGTTCTATCAGTGCTTTGTTCACTTATGCCCCTTTAACATCACAGCTTAGTTTTGCAGCTCCTCCACAATTCTAGGGTCTATGAAAAGTGAATGATCATAACGGCATTTGCCGCAACTGGCACAAGCGTTCTATTCCAAAAGCATTTTTACAGGGAAATAAATCATTCAAGTTAGTGTTATGCTCACATATTATGTCCTAGGTGAATCATAGTTATGATAATTCTGTTCGGTTATTCTTGTGCTTTCAAAACAAATTAAGGAGTTCTTATATGGATTATAGTTGATATAAGAAGTGATTGAATAGAACGACCCTTAATATCATGTTCGCTGATTTTTCTTGCTTCAAGTGAAAGCTTGATTTCAATTAATTAGTAAAAAACCATAGAATAAATGGATTTTTATAACAAACGTTCTATACATCTGCTTTTCTCTGTTCGAAGTGAACGCTTGAAGTTATTGTGTTAATCAATAGTCACATGGGAAATGAATAATTCTGATCTTGGGGCTGGTAAACACCAGGTGCAGCGAACTCTTGTTTTTCTAAGCGAAAACTTCAAGTATTCAAAGCAATTTAAAGATGAGTATGATATTCTTTTTTTTCTGTGAAACAGGACGGGTTATGATGACTGAAATCTACAGCAAGGAAATCAGTATCCCTCAGCTTGTTGTACAAAGCTATACATATATATCTACTGAGAAAAGCACCAAACACTTAGATAGAAATTCAATATGTCATCGATTGAAAACCGAAAAAAAAGGAAATATTTTCCAATCCTACTTTGTATCTTGCTTTTGTTGCTTGACAGAGCCATACTAAAAGGGGGAGAAATCATTATTTGTTCAATGATAATAATTACTTTCAAATTACTCGCTCATTGAATTTTGTAATACTTGAGCAGCGATAGAACTCCCCTGATGCACTTGTGTTGTGAGCTAGAAACAAATTTCTGATTGGTAGTCAATGAAAGAAACAGATGCACTCACTGTAGGCACAAGCTCAATCAGAGGAAATGGTGGTTCAGTTTCTTGAAGTTGGATCATGTGAAGACCATTTCCTTGATCGAGACAACCTACAACTTTGAACTGTCTGGCAGCAGGAAGAAGAACTTCATTTTCTGTCTCGAAATAAGAGTGTCGTTGAATATCTTTTGCACTGTAGCACTCGATAGCAAACATGGTTCTTGTGCCTGTTTTTCCAAGGAATTGTTCTGACTGCAGAAGTTTGACCGATGATGTGCACGATGAAAATCCCCACCAAACAAAAGTCTTTCCTTCAGGATATTCATTAACCAAATCGAGTTTCACTCCTCGATAGACCGTCATCCGAGTCGATGGAAGGCGAGCGAGTGCTGTGAGAATTAGTTTGAGATATAAAAACCATGGTTTTAGGCTTTGCCGATTTTTATCGCGTAGAGTAGCGTTAAGAACAAAATAGAGACAGTGTTCTTGAGGTTCCCATTCCATCGAATAGAGATAAATAGATGCTGATTCATCGGAAGAAAGTCCGTCCGCAGGTATTTCACAGTTCTGTTTAGCTATCCAAACTTTTTTTTCAATGCCTGGTAAGAGAGTAAAAAGAGGCTCCACAGCTTTCTCAATTGAGACAAGCGGCATATTCTCGTATCCTTCGATGGGCAGCAGCATTTTACGAGGCTCCCCAGCAATGTCCGAAAAGTGACGTATACGTTTTGACTGATCAACGAATTTCGAGGCCATAGCTCATAAACTGAGATAGATCGAAGTCAAAATTGGAATTAAATCTTCAAGAAATAAGACAATATTGATTGGTTCAGAAAATCACGTTACAGTCATGCAGTCTAATTCCACTGAGCTCGCACTCACGATTAGTATGGGCCATTTACCTTAGCTCAAAATTAAGTGAAGAATCCTTTTCGAACCCTTAATTTTAATGAAAGAAGATCAGCAGTCACTACTGAATTTCTTAGTACTAAATGCCAATGAATCACTTAATACTTGATATTAAGTTCAAATTTTCCTGCTTAACACTCAGCTCACTTAAAATTAACTTTAAGTGATTCTGTTAGGCACATATTAATTACTTTCGAGTTTTTCTGTTCTGTAGTACAGAATCAACATGATGGCGTTGGAGCCATTAAAAAGAAAATCTCTTCTCACTCCATGATCAGCTTGAACAGCACGATGCTTGGTCCTTGCAATAGTTGAAAAGAATCCTGTTTAAATTTGATTGCTTGAAACGAACAAATTTCTAGCCGATTAGATTTCAGCAAGCGATTTTTTCATCATTGTAAAGACAACATATAGCGTTTTTCAGGTTGATCATGGGGATAGCAGTGGTGTTTTCCCAAGTGGCTGGAAAAATAGTATGTCGAGTCCGTACTGTGGTACAGAAAAAGCTCGAAATTACGTAATATTTATCTAACGAAATCACTTAAAATTAGTTATGAGTGAATTAAGTGTTAAGTGATGCGTTGGCGCTTAATATTAAGAAATTAATCATAGGCGGTCTATCTTTTCCTATTAATATTAAGTATTAACTAAAGTCACTTAATACTTGATTTAATTAAGTTCCGTAAAAAAATGGTCCACCGCCACATGCAACTCGCTCAATAGTTTTGCTGGTACGAGTCTGTAGAGGCGATAGTGAGGCTGAATGCGAGTTTTGGTTCTGTTTTCACATTATTTTCTTATTTGGAAAAAGCAACTATAAAATGGGCAGGAAAAAAGCAAAACTGTGACTTATGATGAAAATGTCGGTGACCTTCCTGATTTTCCGTAAGTTTTCAGAACTAATACGGCAATCGAAACAGGAAGTTTTTGTTTTAAAAAGTTCGTTATTAACAACCAGATAAACAAATGAACACAGCAATTAATTATAAAATCAGCTCCTAAAAGAAATGTGATTTCTGCAGACCGAAACTGACGTAGTAAGTGTGAAAAACCGATTGTTATTAGAGCCAGGCTTAGAGTAGCTACTTCTAGACGATAACCTCAGTCAACCTTCAAAGACTACTTTGTCGCATTGCCACTAAACAATTCAGTCAAGAGTATAGGTTCAGCGCCTTGCACAACGCTTTACAATGAGGTGCTGAAGCACTGATTAGGTCGATAATTGTTCAAGCCAACAGGTTCAGACCGTTTATCCAAATGATCTGTTGAGGCAGTTTTTTGACAAGAACTAAAGTATTTGACCATTTCTTCTGAAAGGAATAGATCTCACCAAATAATTTTCTGGAAGCAACTGATATATTTAAACAACTTATTTAATTACAAATAATCTGATCAGACAGTTCTCTTTTACGAATTTATTTACTTAACGACGTTTAGAACTTTTCAGGACTACCTAAGTATGATATTGAGTTTCTAGTTTTCAAGAGTTATCTCATCTAGTAGCTAAAACGTTTTTTGGAGTTACGCTGACAAGATGTAAGTAACTTGTTGGGTGAGTGTGATTGTGGTTATGTGAAATGCACGTGTAGAACTTCTCTTCACACCAAAATACACACCCACCCATAGATCGACTGCCATGGAAACCGAACCTGATCGATCTTTAGACTAGTTAAGACAGAGCTAAGTTGAGTCTCTCTTGGCAGCACTCAGCACAGGGCTGAACGAACTATGCTAAATCTGAGGAAGCAATATCTCGCTCCGAGTCAATCCGAACCTGATCGAGTTTCTACTCTGGCAAAGACGGAATCAGGTTGAATCGTAGGCGACTGATCTCTAAGCTAAACTAAGCCCGACCGAGTCCAAACTAGACTGAGTGCGAGTCGGAGGAAGTCTAGGCTAGTTAAAGCCAAAGCCAGGCTGGTCTCAAGTTTGATGAAGGCTCTGTCTGAGCACATCAAGCTCACCGCTTCCGGATACCGAGTCGACTGACATCTAGCTGATAGGCCTTTCCATCGTCTTGGTATATGCCTAGAGAAGATACAGCTAGGATAGTAAGAAATGCCAGTTCGATTTTTGTTTACCGAACCAAAACCAGATAACCTGTTTATTTCCTGGTGTATTATTTTGTGAAAGGCGTTTCTTATGTTCGAACATTTACTTACTCGAAAATCGAATAGGTTAGCAGTGCAACTAAAAGCAATAGAATAACAACAGTGCTTTTTATTCCAAATGCACAACTAATGTCCGCGCCAGAATAAAAGAGGGGTGAGTGTAAGCTCAATAACTCGACAACCGCAATACCTAGCTACCTGCGGTTTTCACCAATCGAAAGAGGAGGAGCGGGCACGTATTTTTCTTCGATAATATATAAGACGAAATTTTTTTAAAACTAATGATATTTGAAAAACATGCAAAACAACTCATGGAAATGACCTGTCAGCTAGATGAAATTTTGTTTTTGATCTTCGATTTAGATAGCCCATGTAAAAAAACAAGCTTGGAAATCGGATTAAAATCGATTTTCGAGAGAAAAATCGCGAAAAATCGATTAAAAGTGGCAAATTCTGATTAAATTCGAGTCGAGAATCGATTATAATCGGTTTTACTGAGTAAAAATCNATCCCAAATATAGGTGGGGCAATAAACTTTAATTCCTGGGCATAATAAAAAATCTATTTTCAGCTTTATGAAAATGCTCTATGATAGCTGCATTCATTCAAGCTGCAATTAAAACTAGTCTTTTAAAAGTAATCTCTATATTTGTTTTTCTGTTGAAGTCAATAAATAAACGAGTAAATATTGGATTTAAAATTTTTTTGGGTGAGGCAATTGCCCCCAATTGCCTCGTGGCGGCCCGCCACTGGTGTGGAGCAGAGTTAATAATCAAATAAAAATTAACGATGTACACTACAAACAGTCCTTAATCAAACTGTTTAATATTGATCAATGAATAGTTTACTTGTGAAAGATTCTTCTTAATAAATGATAGTCGTTAAAAAATCCTTGCATATAAGCCAAGATATCTTGCTTTTTCAGTTTGTAAGTCATTTTTCTTATGACTTATATTGTTTTTGCAAATGTGATATTAATAAAGTCATGATCATCATGATGATAAACTTTTTACATTGTTATAATCAATGATCGAACTGTTTTGTTGGTTTTTTTTTTTGTGTAGGAGTTTTTGTGTAAAAGAAATCTACATGTATAGTCAATGTCAGTCCAGATCGTGGTGCACTCAAATAAAGTAGAACTAGTATATGTTGAATGTAACCATTAAAAAAAAAAGAACAGATTTCAAAGTCTGCTAGATCCATATAACCAATGATATTTCACTATTTAAGTTTAGCAACTAGATCTAACGAAAAAACTTCTTGGGTTCTTGTTTATGAGATATTGAAATTTTACTAGATTTTTTAACAAAAAATTGTGGTCGTTCTTAGATCAAATGGAAAATTGGCTTTCGAGTTTCGACTTCAAACTTTGCACAAATAAAGTTTTCAAAAAGATTAATTGATAATGCCACTAGTATTTCTTTTCTGGACATGTAAATCTATGAATAAAATTAGCTTTTATACATGAGCGAATTTCGAATATTCAATATTTCAGGGTAGAAGATATTATAAAAGTTACAAGTTGCTCAATGAATTAATCTCATTGAGAACTTTGTTCGTGCAAAGTTTGAAGTTGAAACTCGAAAGTTGATTTTCCACGTGAGCATAACTTTTTGTTGAAAATTCCAGTAAAATTTCGATATCTCAAGGATGAAGGATCGAAAAATAAAACCACTATAGACTCTTCTATTACCCAGCGAATGAACATCGTCTTGGCCGAAAAGCAATTTGATACACGAAGAGGCTCTCTCTTAAGCAAACTGATTTTTCTATAATCTGGAAACTTTATAAATAAAAATGCTCAATAAAAAGTCTAATGATTTCCTTCTTATAATCAAAGAATTTTTATATGATCAAAAATTTTTTTTTTATTTTTTTTATTCTAGAATCATTATGGTCTGAAAGTGTCTCTCAGGTACAAAAACCCTTAGTCATAATCCATAATCCTACTAATGTTGTATTGCCTATATGTCTATGCTATTATATTGTTTTAACAAAAAAAAAAACCTTTTTTTGTCTCCTTTTATTAAACATGAACATTTTTCTAGATAGGTACCGGCATCGGTAGCAATAAAAATTGAGTATATAAGTCAAGTATGAATAAATTAATTATAAAAATTCTATTTTACACATGTTTGCTAACCAAACTTTAATCCAATCACCTATGTTTGTTTTGTCTGTTGTGATATGTTTATTTTCCCTATTTTAATAAGAAAAAAAAAGAAAACAAAGCACAAAAAAGAAAATTAATAGTCATACATAAGATTTTTCTTTTAGGAAACATTATATAAAATATTCGAAGCATCAAAATCTTCTTTACAAGAAAAAAATCTCGATTCTATATCAATAAATAAACTGACAAAAAAAGCAAATAATAACGAAAGTCTTTCTGCAACAACTGTCAATCGTGAACAACAGACAACAAGTCCAATAATCGATCCTCTACTTATCGCAACTATACATGGTAATACAGGTGCAATCGATACAATTCGTGGTCAAATAATTGAATTAAGACATGATGTTGATCAATTACGAATTGAAATTAATAATCAACGAAGAAAAACTCTGGCATTTAATACCGAAACTCGTCGTATATCTAAACCTGAAATTAATACTCTTAATCAAACATCAGTTTCTCATAATCATCATCTTGTTGAACCAGCTGTTACAAGAAAACGCTCAGCAGTTTGTATTATAATTTAAAAATTATATTATTGCTTTATTTGTTCCCTGTACAATTTTATTGTTTTCTTTTTTATTTATTCGAAAAATAAAAAGAGTAAAACTGTAACAAAAAAAAAAATTTTTTTCTAACATATTTACGACGTCCATAAGATCTTGTCACTAAAAAGAAAATTATTAATAGAAAAGACATCCAATCAAACTCTCTAGTATAAATATTCGAAATAGTCGCCGTAATGCTTAATATAAAGTTTCATCTTTTCAATTCACTTTTTAAATGTCTTTTCAATATTCGCCAACAAATATTGAATTGAGTTCTGTGGTTATTGTTTTCGTTAAACTTGTGATAACTGAATATGAATCGAGACTATCTTTAAGATAAGAGAACAACCAAAAGTCGAAAGGAGTATAGTCAGGTGAATATGTTGGAAGAGTCATAACTTTGACTTCGTCTTCTTAAAGATAATTGATAACAATATCTTTCACATGCAGTTTTACATTATCATGCTAGGCCTTGATATCATTTGTTTCTGATGATGATATTTTGCTCAATACTTTTTTACCTAAAGGTTTTAAATATTCATAACGATAGCAGATAGCATCGATAAATACTCTAGAAGAAACTTGATGGAGAAGTAAGAGTCCAATTGTCATAAAGAAGATAACAAACATTGTTTTTTTCTTCTCAAATAATTGTCTTATAACGATGGACGGAGAACCGTACCTGACTATTATCGGTGATTTTGATTCTACTGTTCATTAAATCTTACGATAGTAAATACAGGTCTCATCACCAATAATAATATCACACAATTATCAAGCACTACTTTTACACTTCTATAAATTTTCGGCACATATGTTTACAAGCCGTGGTTATTTTTGTCATTATTGTTTCAATTCATGAGGCATTCATCTAGACGATTTTTTTCTTATGTGTAGACCGTGTTTCAATATATTATCCACACTACAATGGCATATATTCAAGACATTGACAATAAAATCAATATTAATATATATATCATCATTAATTATATCTCTAGTGGCGTCCATGTTTTCTTGAGTGACGGCGGTTTTTGGACGATCGCTGCTAAGATCATCTTTCATTGACTCTTGTCCACTCAAAAGATCGTGAAGACACCTATTAACCGTACGATATGATACATAATCTTGACTGTAAGCAGTGGTCAATTCGTCATGGATTTCAATAGCAGTCAATTCCAATAACGACCGAGTTTTTTGTAGTAGCAAATATATTTTTTATCTGTCTGAAAATGTAGGCACAAGAAAAAGTAACTGGACATTAGAGATAGTAGAGACTTGGAAAGATTTTCATTCAAAGTGTACTATATCATTCTTATAACTACTAGAAAAAGTTTATATTGAAATAAAAAAAAGTCAGCATAAAACCTTAGATTAATGTTGCCAGAACTTTTTGGATTCCGAAAGTATATAATCAAAGCATATCATCACATTGTTTGAATTCAATTCGGATTAAATTCAATATTTTAAAAATGTGGAATAATTTTATTTTTAATTAATTGGTTTAATAGAAACACGTATCTTTTTTCTGTACTTCTTTTTCATAGTTCGATTTCTTGTATGATAGCTGATAAAAGACCACAATAAATGTCTTCATTTTCTACACATAGATAATCAAAATCTATCAATGGAATATCGAGACTTGATTTTTAGCATTATTTGAATCATGTCGAATACTTCCTGGATTGATTCGTGGGAAATTTAATTTCATGAAAAGATTTTTTCTAAAATAAATCTCACCTCGAAATATAAGATCTTCCTTAGAGGAATATTGCGACAGAAGAATTCCTTTAATTAATTAATTTCTTATAAAATTAAACCTTGCAACAGTATATTTACATCAAAATATATCTAGTTTTTAAAGCTTTGACCTAAAAAAGCCTTAAAAGACTGCGATCCTCATCATGTCTAGGCTTTTAAAGCCTTAAAAATCACTTTGCCTTTTCTAAAGATTCATTAAATTAACAGTTATGAAAATAAATGAGACACAAAACAAAACTCTGGATTAGAGTCTTCCAGCGAGTATAGGGATTCAATTATTGTTTAAAAATATTCATAAGTAAATTTACTTATTATTGAACCAAGTGCAGGTTAAATAAGTGCCATTGGTCAATGATCGACAGCATAAATAATCTAATAAGGAAAGTTTCCTCCAACTGATAAGTCACTTTTGGGTGGAGTCTGTGCGCATTATTTATGCTCAAATGGGTTAAGTATACCCTGAAAGGAGTTCCTGTCCTCAGCTTATTGCTCCACAGATACTGCACTTTTACAGCATTTTTTAAATAAGTGTCGTGGTAACAGAAAAACTGAGTTTCGAATTTTGACTTGAAGCTTTGCATAGGAGCTGACTTTATCAAAAGTTTCGGGGTTTTTGATTCACTCTTTTTCCAAAATACTAGCATAAAATCTGTTTGTTTATATGAGCGATGTAAAAGATATGCTGTTTGCCATAGTTGTATCTTAGAATAGGAACAGCAGCAGGATCTGAAAAATTTCTCGTTATGGCTTGTTTCTACACAATGTTTCAAGTCGAAATTCGAGAATGTGTTTTTTTTTGATACTAGGACATTCATTTAAAAAATACGGTAAAAGGGCAATATCTCCGCGGCAACAAGCTAAGTGCACGAACTATTTTCAGGATATTCATAGCTCATTTGAGTCTACATAATACGCAGTTTCAATTCAAAAGTGATTTATTAGTTGGTGAACTTTGCTCGTGAACTTGAGTTTTTACACGATGTTTCTGATCAATTAATGAACCATTAAATGTTTTTCATTAATACTCTCTTCCTTAAAGAACTTCAACAACTGCAGTTTATTTCCTTTAATACATATAATTTAAGAGTTATAACTGACTCGGTGAGATTAATTAGACCATACGATTCGATCTTCATCGGTTAAAAAGAATTGTTTAGATATGTTATTTTTCTCTCGTAACATACATCGAAAGCAAGTTTAAATCATCTTATCAAATTAATCAAAAATTATTGTTTTCAAAAAGACTATCAATCATAGTTTTTTTTTTCGTTCGTCTACGCTTTTATTTCTTAGCAAAAAATCGAAACTATGTTTCTAGAGCTAAACTTATCAATTGCTTTCATGTGATGTTATGCTGGAGACAAGATTTACATTCGAATCATTCTTTTGAAAACAGAAGAATCGATTTTTTCGTTATACTTGAAAGAAAAAGATTCCAAGTTTTGTGTTTAGTCATCAGGCGTTGAAATAAATTATTCATTGTTGGTGTTGGAGAAATATTGCCTCTACATTTTTCACAAAATTTAGGGATATCAACGATTGTTATATGGTATTTCCTCTTGAAAGTTTGTAAAAATCTGAGCAAAAAAAAAAAAGAAAAGAAAAAGAGTGATTTTTGAAAGCATTTCTTTTAATAGGTTAAAAATTACCTGACAAAGAAACGACTGATTCTTTCCTGTCTAGAGATTTGAATCACCCAGTTATCGCCACCTCTGCATTATTTATAATGCTTTCGGCTTAAGTCCAACTAACATGAGTACCTCATCTTCGAGTGAATCAAAAAACACTATAAATATTTCTATGATAAATTGATATCTACTCGATCACTCTTAACACTTGATAGAATTGAACAAGTACTTATTACTGGTCTGAAGACATAAACAAGTGTTTGAAAAAGTTATTTAATCTAATTGAGCAGTATTACTAAACAATATTGTAAAATCTTCAATAATTATCGAACCAACACGAATACTTCTTTGTATTGTAACAGAAAAACTTCTCTTTCTTCGCAATTATGAAATGAATTGTAACTTCACCGAAATATTAATCTCAAGCAAATTTGTCCAATAATTTCTACAATCATGTCAATCAAATGCAAATAAGAACATCTTAATGTTTATTCTCTGTTTCAGTCAATAGTAAATATTTAAATTAAATCTAATCGATTGTCAATAACTCGAATGATTGAAAATGAACTAGTTAAATGTGGAACAAAACTTCATTAATGTACTTAATAACTTAACAATGTATTGTCGAATCTCCACTTAACTAAATAATGTCAATGAAAGTCAACTTTATTCAAATTTGATTTTCACAATAAGTATTGTTGGTAATTTGTACTATTTTACTGTCATCTATACATGATGTGGTATGATACACAGTTAGAAATTAATTTATTAAACATATAGGTAATGTTGACTGATACGCTAACTAATGAAAAGCAATTAAAAAGAGTATATCACTGGTTGTTAGATGCACATAATGCAAAAATCAAGTCAATTTTTTTCTCGCTTCTCTATATAATATTCGATAGAGCATGATAATTTAGTCACAGATATATATCATGTTTTAATCTATTAGTTCATGTTTTAGAGGGACAGAACAAAGCATTAGAAAGATATGAAAAACAATTTTTTGTCAGAAGTTTTCAAGTTTTTCTTGTTACTTATATTTGTGTAATGTTTTACAAGAATTATTTTCTAATTCAGTATTAAAAATTCTACTTAAATGAGTTTGGAATCGAAGTGTTGTCTCACATGGGCCTGTCGAATGAAACTACTCAAACAACTTGTTATGATATTCATAAGCAAGTTTGTAAACCTTTCTAGTTTTTTTGTATTAAGAGAGAGGATCAAGTATCATATCACGTTAGAATCGTTATATATTGGTCTCCAAAGATACTCTATTATTTTTTCTAGATTTTATTTTATTGTTGAGAAAATCGCGTTTTACTTTTACGCTAAAAAAGTGACAAAGTATGCACATTCTCCCTTAATTTTACCCTTATTTTTTGTGATATCTACAAATAGATAAAATATTCAGAATCAGCATAGAAAAATATAATGAGTCATATATCTTTTAATCAAAAACATTTTCCATCGTGATCATCCCTCTAGAGGGTCACAAGACAAATTTTCAAAAAATTACGTCTAATACGAGTTACAGACGTAATATTACAAGATTTTTTTCTTTCTCAAAAAGATAAATATTTTATTGGTTTTTCTTATATCACGCAAAGACTAATGGTAAAATTAATTAGATATGTGTATAGTTGTTCACAATTGTAGTGTGGAGATAGAACGCAATTTTCTCAACGAGAAAATAAAATCTATAGATATGTCGAACAATACATTCATTGCAGACACATATAATTAGAATTTTTAATACTGAACTAGAAATTAGTTCTTTAAAAAATGACTGAAATCTAATTAACAAAAAGACTTGAAAATTTCTGACAACAATTAGTTTTTTAGCTGTTTCGAACCGTTTTTCATATCTTCCTAAGTTTTTTGTTCTTCTTGTCCAAAAACTTGGCGAAATTGATTTTAAAGTATGATAGCTCTGACCAACTTTTCGTGTTCTATCGAATCATAGATAAAGGAACGAGAAAAAAAATCGATTCGATTTTTACACTATGCGTACTTTACTCTGTGTATTGATAAAAGTGAATCATGCAGATTATCTTAAAATATCTTTAAATGTTTTTGAATTTCGACTAAAACCGAACCCAATGATTTCCATGTGATTGTCTCATCTTTAAAATGTCATAATGTAAATGTGATTGGTAAATAAAATAATGAAAAATGTTGTAATAAAATTTTCATTTTTTGTTTTGTGTTGTTTTGATACGATACGATAAAATATAATAAAATGCAAGATTGAAACGACAAGTTGTGACTTTGTGATTTTAAAATGAATTTGTATAATTTAATTTGAGTTTCAGCTGAGTTAAATCAGTAGTTTCCCTTTTGATAAAATGTCACACAACTAAATTTGATTAAATAAGTATGGCATCTATTGTTTCTTTTAAATTGTTTTTAACTAAGTTCTAGATAAAAAAAGAATCAATCCAATTATCGATTATTATAAATTAATAATAAAAATCGTAAGAAAGAAAATATATTTTCATATATATTCAAAATGTTGTTATTGATAAATTTGAAAATTTACTAAATCAATTTGTAAATTTGAATATATGAAGACTTATGATCTATTAGAGTTGTTAATGTGTATTCGTCGACCTTCACTTCTCTACAGCCCCCGTAGCTCAGTTGGATTAGAGCGCCGTACTTATACACAGTATCGGAGCAATGCGGATGTCGTGAGTTCGAGCCTCACCGGGGGCATTTTCACTTTTTTTTGCTGTTCGTTCTACGTTCTGTAATTTTGTTTTTTCTACTTTCTAAATGAGTCATTTTTGCGTTCTGTACTTTCGTTGAATATTTTTCTTACTCAAGCCTATATAAGGCATATGTCAAGTATAATTCTTCATATCATTATTGTGATCATCATGTTGAAAGTGGTTTCTTCAGCTTGGCGAGATTCCAAAGATCGATTCGTTCCATTAAAGAATGTCTTCGTACAAGTAAATATTCATTCATTTGCTACTGAAGTCTGTATCAAACAAGTATTCATCAATAGTGAAGAAACATTAAATCTGATAGAAGCAGTTTATTGTTTTCCTATTGAAGAACAAGCTGCTATTTATAGTTTTGAAGCTAATTTGGATGATGGTCGAAAGATACAAGCTCAAATTAAAGAGAAGAAAACAGCACAACGTGAATATTTTAAGGTATTAAAACAAGAGCATGAAGCATTTTTACTTGAACAAGATGAAAAATCAAATGATATTTTTACCATTAGCGTTGGTAAATATTCATTTCTGAAAGTTTAGTCTGTATTTCTTAAAAAAAAAAAGATTTTTATATTTTGTAGGTTCTCTTAAACCACAGTCAAAGTGTAAAATTGAAATTCATTATGTACAAGAACTTGAATCAATCAATGATGGCCAACGTGCACAATTTGTTTTACCAACAACAATTGCATCTTGATATAGTTCTATATCTGATAGTGTTGGTCATATTAAATCCCCTGGATCGACAAAATAAAATTATGGTCAATCAGCACCATATACCATTTCTTTCACTTGTTCGATTTCGTCGTTACCAATCGCATCAGTTGGTTCATTATCTTATCCGATTCAAATTACAACACAATCGAGTAATAATGAATATCCAACAATGAATGATTCTCTCGCTCAAGAGAATACTCATCTTGATCGTGATATTATTCTTAATATGGATCTTAAACAACAACAAAGTCTTAAATATACTCTAGTCGAACAACAAACTATAATAATATCGTTTGTACCTACATTGGAATCATATCATAATAACAATAAAATAGGAAAAATCAATTGTCAATATATTTTTGTAATGGATTGTAGTGGATCTATGTGTGGCGTAATAAGATCGGTTATGCTCGATAAGCAATGTCTGTTTTTCTTAAAAGTTTGCCTATAGGATCTTACTTTAATATTATTCGTTTTGATTCAACATATGAATAATTTGAAAATAAAAACATTACTATTGAATACAATGAACAAAATGCTAACAAAGCTCACAATTATATTAATCATATGGAAGTAAGAAAATCATTTTTTTCATAGTTTATATTTGTTGTTTATTTAGGCTGATTTGGGTAGAACAGAACTTTATTCTGTTCTTTCTTGTTTACATCAAGGATCACCTAAAAACAATCATTCACGTCAATTATCTATTTTGACTGATGGTGAAATCGATGATGTTGATAAAGTACTTCGTCTATGTCATACAATGTCAAATACAGCACGAATTTTTTCATTTGGTCTTGGTTCAGCGCCAAGTCGTTCTTTAGTTAAAGGTTTAGCACGAGTTACTAATGGTTCATATCTTTTTATTCCATCAAATACTCATGTTGATGTAGCTATTGCATGATAATTAGATAAAGTACTTAAATCTTGTTTAACTAATATTAAAATGCAATGTCATGTTAATAATGATGGTTACGAAAATTATCGAATATCACCAAAATCTCTACCACCTGTCTATGTTAAACAACGCCTCAATGTTTATGTGATGTTTCCAAAGACGATAAAAGAAAAAATTTCAGGATCTATCGAATTTTTGACAAATACAGTAAGTCAATTTTGTTCTGTTTCTTTGAATCATTTAGTACTCATATCTATTTATTTTATAGGATAATCTACTTGAATGTGTTACATTTACTGACACGGAACCTTTATCATCACTTGTCGCAACTCGTTTAGTAGCTAAATCAATTATTAATGACCTTCAAATAGTTGATTATAATTCAAAATCATCTCATCATAATCGTTTTATTGAACAATACAAAGAAGATAAAAAGCAAGAACTAATTAATGTATCAATTCAATATCAAATTCTTTCACCATTTACGGCATTTATTGGCATTGAAACACGTACTGAACAAGAGATAATAACTGAAGCATCATCAGGTGAAATAATTCTTCAAGAAGTACCTATTGAAATTCGATCAAATGAGAGCACGTTGGATAATTCCAATGATTCCGACGAAGATTTTGAAAAAGATGATGATGAATATGAAGAATCAGCTGTCGAAGATTACCACATTATTTTCATACGCTCGGGACGCAAATATTCTGTAGACATGAAAGTGACAGAAAAATTATTTTCACCCTCATATGGTAAATTATTAGAAACAGACAAACCTAGAAAAAGATTTTGTTCTTGATCTCAGTCTCCTATTCGGCGTCATCTCTCCTCAAGTCTCATGCTAAATCAAAATAAAAATGATGGTAATCAAATTATTATTGTTCGTCAAATTATTGGCTTACAAAATTTTAATGGACTCTGGTCAATAAATAATCTTAAACAAATAATCGAACTTTTCCAAAAACGTCTTCTACCTACAATATCCAAAAATGTTGATTTTAACAAAATTCTAAAGGATCATCAACACTAGAATAGTGATGTTGTACTCTCCATGATTATTTCGTTTATATTTATGAAATACTTTACTGATGATGAAATTCTATGGAAACCTATTATGAAAAAATGTTCTGCAGCAATGAAAAATCAACTCGACACTAATGAATATAATGAAATGGCCATGAAAATTCAAGAAATAATTTGAAATTTTTGCAAAAAACTTTTTATAACAAAAAAGACGAAGAAAATTTTTTTTTCATGATGTTTAAACTTGATACTTCTTTATTGTGAAACTAATAACATAAAAAATAATTAAAAAAGTCCAAGTTGGAATATTCTATTCTATCCCATCGTTTTCCAATCCAAGGAAAAAAGCTGTTAGCGAAGTTCTTGTTGGATTAAACTGTAAAAGACAATGCATTTTGCAGAGAAGAGAAGTCTGAATATCTAGGCACCGTATTAGAATGATGTTTTAATATCCAGCATGAAATCTATTATCTAACAATCTTTTTTTCTTTGCTAGTGGTCCGATGCTTATGCCGGGCTCTAGTAAGAGTTTGTCACAGCATGGAGAGGGAGGGGAGCGGGTAGTAAGTGCAAATTTATATCCTATATATCTCAACACTCCTTTCAGATCATGCTTCACAAAAATACATTATAAAGCATGTTTGAGAACGTGTTTTATAATAATGAAATCTATTTTCACATAATAAATCTGAATTGGACTTTCGTTATCTACTTAGGGCAATACAAAAGTAGTGGTGATGGTATTTTAACGCTGTACAGATAGTTTGAGATTTTCTCTCTAGATGTATTGATAGTAAGAATAATACTTTATATCTCTGAAGTGTTATGTTCTTCTTTAACTAATATCCTTGCAATCCCATTTTTGATAAGAACTGTTTTGTATAATGTCTGATAAAAACATTAATGTCTATTTGAAAGAAAAAAGGGTGTAGATGTTTTCTTTTGGAGTAACTTTTTTCATTGTTAGAAAGAGAAAAATGACGACTAGACTTGTTAAGGTTTTTAATCGATCCTTCTTGAGTACAAATCTACTCCGCAAGTTTATTTATAGTGAATTTTCAATTATCACGTGTGCATTCAAATTATCAATTGAAGATCTACAAAGTTGTGTAAGACTCCAATCTTTAGATTTAGTCGCACAGAAGTCATAAGTATTCTACACAAAAGTTTTGTATATATGCTTCTAGCAATTCCCGTAGAAGAAAAACATCTTGTTTTGTTTCTGGATTTAAAAAGAAAGAAACATTTTTTTCGGCACTTCTTTTCTTCAGAAAACTGCTTTAGAGAACTTGAGAAAATAAATTAGAAAAACCTATGCGATAAGATTCGATGTGTCTTCATTTTCTGTTTGTAACGATGGAAGTGGCAGCTTTCTGTCATATGTCTATCAAGAATTATACAAAAAAAAAGAATATCTACCCAATTTGTTTTTCCTTTGAAATGGGTATTATCCAGTCCCACAAAGAATATAAAAGACTCGCGAAAACACGTCGAAATTTCGACAAAAATAGAATCATAAAAATGGCGTATGTCCTTATGCGCTTAAAGCGCGATATCACGTGTTTCATTTTTGAATTGAGTTTATCCCAAGAGTGAACCTGCATATTCCATACAGCTGGCTTTCTTAAAGTACAATTTAGATGATTTCTAAATGAGAACTAAATCTTGTTACCATCTTGTACTAGATAACTTACTAGTTGAATGTTGATCGATAGAAACTTGGATTAAATTTATAATTCGTTTGAGTTTAAAATTTGTTATACATTATTACAGATCAAAATTAAACTAATAGGCCATTTATTACATGATGGTAACAAGATACAATTCAATTATTATTAGGATTCATCTAAACTATAGTTTAAGAAACTCAGATCTACAGAAAATGATTGCTCTCTTTAGGGATGCACTCAATTCAAACACTAAACGTTTAGTAACATGAAGCGATACACAATAAAAATTATTCTGCCTTTAAGAAGCTCATCTAACTACTGCACGTTCTGTGAAAGGAACATATACGAAGAGTATTTCATAGATTTAGGATCATTTTGAGGCTTTTTGTATTTTTTCGAATATGTGAAATCAGATAGGCATAGAAAAATACGCATTTTTTTTAAAATCTGAACTATCATTCGAAATTTACTATACTGAACTGACATTGTTATTGTAGAAAGTTCAATATTGAAAAAAGTGCTAAATTTATTTAACAAATTTATTTTCTACTATTTTTGTTAGGATGAGAAAAATATCAGTATCGTACTAATTATAAGTTATTTTATCATTGTGTTCTTGTGGAGTCTAATGGTGAAGTAGATTTAGGCTTTGTTCTTTTTATACATGATCAAGATAAAAATATAAGAAAAAAGCGTGAAAAACAACTTTTGCTAAAACCATTTTAACATGCTTACTACGTAATTAATATACAGGGCACGAGTATATGCGAAAGCATACATGAACAAGGTACCCCATCAAATATCAGTGCCCTGGAAAATAGAATAAAATGCCCTGACTTATCTCGTATATCGATCAGGTTTCAGACCCTATTTCTACGTATCAGTAGCATTGTATCTATTATCTACATATCAATATACGTATATCATTTCTGTGATATGTGACATATAGAAGATACAGTAGACATAGAGGTACAGAGACAGAAGTCGGATAGAAGTGTTAGAGACATAAGGCTAAACTTATTTTAAAAGTTGAATAGTTCAAACATTCGTAATGAATTAATGATTTCTGCACTATTGAAAACATTATGAAAGCTTTAAAACTTATACTAGCAATGTTTTGTGACGTATAAATCTATTTCCAACTACATATGAAGTCGTTGCATAAAGTTTTCTGCAATATTAAAACATGAGTCAATTATTCCAACAGCATAGTTCTCTCCGATCGTTTTGTAAGTTTTCGATTTTTTTTTATATCACGGCAAATGCCCTACAAATAATAATAATAATACGATTTGTATTTCATCGATCTTTCATCCAGTTTTTTCCATTCAAAGGTCTAATTTATATGTACTAAAAATTCATTTTGCTACGTTGTTGAAATAAAGTTTCAACAAAAATTGTTTGTTTCATACAATTACGCTTAGTCACATTAAATCTGAAGTCATGTCTTACGTGGGTACAAGTTTTCATACTGAAACTCGACCCGAACCCGGCCAACTTAAAGTCGACCTCGGTTAGATATACTCAGCCCACTGTTAATGGTGCCCAGTACCGGCTATTTTTTGTCAGTTATAAAACATTTCCAAATTTTGATGTCATTTTCAAAAACATGCGACCTAATAACATGGATAAAGTAACAAAGAAAAGAAAGAGATTATCTGAAACTACTTAAGAGTGCTTTCTGAATATCCTTGTACTTGTCGTTGATGATGCTCAAATTAAAAAAACAATATCGATATTCAACGTGGTAGGTGTGGATACAATATATGCATCACTGTTTTGTGGAACTCACACATATTTTCAAAGAAAATAGTAAACTTAACTTTTGAATCGAAATCTTGCGGCTTCTATCCCTCATATTCCAAATTTTAGCAACTAGAGTTGAAGATTATTAAGTAAATTTCCATAGTAGTTGCAGATGAAAATGAATCATTTTAATCATGCAATCACTGGTACTTACGCAGGCAATAGTACGAGGTTTTCATAGAAAACAACATTATTTGAAATTTTAAGATCAAAGAGTGTAGAATTAAAGTACTGATATGCACACTACTGAAAGTGAGGCAATGTTTAATGTACCAATATGTATGTGAGTTTCATATTTCAGCTGCAAAGTGGGTGTACTAATAAGAATTTGTTTTCTTTCTTTATGAGGACAAANCTGAATTTGCAAGAATTCTCAGCATGTCTTTGAGAATATATAGAGTACTCATATGCCTACATAATGGTGAAAATCGCATCTCTCTAGCTCTTTTCGTTCTAGAGTTATTCCAAAAATACCCACGGCCATATACTTTTTGGACAGGCATTAATAAGAGTTACAGGTTCTAAAGACAGTAGACGGAGTAAAATGACTAAAAGAAACACCGAGAACCATAACTCTAACAATCACAACGTATCTTTTTTTTTTGTGGTATTAGGCTTATACTTTATATTCTTGCTGTTGTAGAATGTGTATAAGCATAGAAAAGTAAAATGCAATAAATTTGGTCTCCCATGGGGTCAATAGAAACTATATCTTTCATTTGCTTTTTATTTAAATACTGTTCAAAATTCACTGAATAAAATGACTTTTTTCTTTTATTTTAACTAAATTTCTCTTACTAATAACATTTTTGAAAAAACATTGTGCGGTAGACATTATAACAATTAATATAGATTATTTATATCTTTCTTTAATTGTAAGTAACCATCTGTATTAAAAAATTCTCTGTATTCAAGCATAATTGTGGACTTCGAACAATCTACGAATACCGAAGTAAGTTACAAAACTGTTTTTAATATTGCTTGGCTACTGTTTCTAGTATAACTTCAATACCATTTGTATTAATTTGATATAGTGTGCAATTATTTTTATTGCCTTTTCTGACAATTGTATTGCTATATTAGTTAATTGTTGCTCTTATAATTACCATATGGTTCATTCGTAGATTCTATTTTAAATTTTTATAAAAGTAATATTCTAATTTATATAATTTAACAACGTGAAGATATCATAAAACGTTGTGAATGTAGATGATATCGGTCAATAGTAAGATCATCTATTTTGTTTTCTGATTAAATAGTAGAACTGACTTATAAATAATTGATGAACAAATTTATTTGT